CTCAGAGTGTAATCAGGGCGCAGGTACTGTCATTCCTCCTGTTCTTTAGAATACCGCTTCATGCAATGCAAGGTGGCAACCTAGCAGTCCCCAGTCCCCAGGACAGGCTGTTCTTGGTTTGTTCAGTTCCAATATCCATGGGTTTCAGTTATCAAGTGCAATTAAGTAATAGTTTTTCAACAACTCTGTTCAAATTTCAGTTGTCAGAGTATTGTTGACTGTGAGAACTTGCAGAAAGTAGTAACTTCTATTAGCCATTCAGTCCAAAACCACTTCAAGAATTACAGATGAGATGCATAACGATAACAAAGTCTAGGTGATCGGTCACCACACAGACAAGCAGTGTGTGGAATTGTGTTGCCTCTGTTTTGCCCAGCAATGAACCTACATGGCATTTTACAAAAGTAGATAATTGAGAGAATTGATGAATGAAGATGAAAGTGCAGTAAAGAAGTGGAAAGTGATAAGGCTAGAAGCAAAATTTGAAAAGCATGCAAATGGAGTTGAAGTCAGCCGAGGTGGGCGTGGTGACACTGTTGTCCTTCCAGAATAGCTATGCAGCAAGCTCGGGGACATAATGGGGAAGGCGATGAAGGTGTCCCAGAAATAGCGACACTGGCAAAAATCTCATGGAAGGGACTCTAGGAGATACTTGGTCACATTGAAAGTAGAAAAGATGAAATGTTGGGAACCAAATTTAGAAATGAGCAAGGCAATTTGCTGGCGAGTAGAAACGATGCCTGCTCCATGTCATGTACAACAAAAAACGGAAGGCAAGCACGTTTTTTACAAGAAACATTTGATTCTCAATGTTTTATGTTTTTGTTTTCTTACACATTTAACAAGATGTTTAACAGTTCGACAAAAATTGAAAAACTTATTCATCATGAATATATTTTGAGGAAAGCATAAAAAGTGGATTAATGGATATGCAAAGAGGTGAGGCTATTTGTGATCCAGTGTAAATTGTAAGAGTAGATTCCAGATTCTTTTCATCAGAACGTCCTTAGCTCTGGAAGTGAAAGTGCTGCTCATGGTGCTCCTGCTTGTGTTTGTTTATTTTATTTATTTATTTTTTTTATAGAGAGTGCCTGAGAAGGCACATGAGCATTTCTTTAATTATTGTCAGCTGAGTCCAGTGGTGTTGGCAGAGCCATTTCCTGGAGACATACTGTGCCAGAGGCAGGTAGGTTGTCAGGCTTACCCTTAGCTCAGGTGCCAGGGGGTGGGTTTCATTATCTAAGTTCAGCCAGGTGAAAGGAACAGATGCAATTATCTGGGCTTAGCCAGTAGTGACATTACAAAGAAGCCACAAAGAATAAAAAATTACAGCTTGATCTTTAACCATGATTATAGTTTTATCTTTAACCATGATTTCACATAATTTCCTTCGTTTTAAACTCTAGTAAAACTTCCTGGAATTATACTGTATATAATAAAAGTGTTGCACCGGTTCTCACTCACTGTCTCTCCATCAGAGGGCCAGCTGTCCCACCCGGTCCCAGCTTTTCCCCTGTCTTTGTGTCTATATATGTTTTCATTTTCTCAATCCCTAGCTGCCCCTACTTAGGACTGGTGTCCGCTCTCTAGCCGAGCTGGTCAGGGTCCAAGAGAAAAATACTTAATACATTACCTCAAGCCTTTAGAACACTTCCACACAGGCTATGGACTCTGGAGACACACAGTGAGCACATACCAGTGAGACTTCAGGCAACTCTTTCCGCAAGAGCCTGAACACCAGTCACATACACAAAAGCTTGCACGATGAAGCAGTGGGTGAGTCACATTACCAATCTGTGATGAGACTTCATCCAAAAATAAGAAACTAACATTGAAGACCCAAGGGTCCTGGGGGGCTGTTTCTCTCTTTTCCATGTCCCACAGGGAAAAGGAAACAGTCTATTTGCTGAGTGGAGGAGCTGGGGATTAAGAAA